TTTTGAAGTATGTGTTATGCAATGTTCATATATCAAATTTAAACAAAGGTTTATTTTACAAATCTAGAGGAGATAGAATTTGAATTTTCATATTGAAAAAATTTACATATATTGATCGGCGAAAAATCCGCACATATGATTTTTTATGTGTGCGCTCAACTATGTTTGTGTTTATTATAATTTGTAACACCCCAATAGTGCATGTCACAAAATAACTGGTCTTCTTAAAATTGACATGTTAAAAATTCTCATGTAACTTTTGAAAAAAAAACAACGTAAATCAATTATTCTAGCTAAAAGCTATTGAACTACGTTGGAATTTTTTAAATAAGTTCAATGCAACAGGAGTCATGTCAAGTTAAAAGTTTGTATTATAAAAATTTTGAAATTGACCCCTATAATTCTGGCAAACAGCCCAAATTATGAAGTAAAATGTATTAATTTTAAATCTTTTTTCTAAATAATTAAATTCTAATAAAACCCTTAAATACTTAAATGGTCAGAATTAAAAAAGGATTCAGTACTTTCTAAAACCAGAAGATAATGAAATTGAGTGAGAAAAAAGAAAATCAAACTCTTGGTATTTTTTGTCACGTGTTATCTGTGGATCTATATAAAAAGTGGATGGTATTACTGTGACACACTGTATTATCAAATTGTTGGCATATTTAAAAAGCACATGAAATTATTTTGTTCGAAAAGGAAAAATAAGAAATAAATACCAGTTTTTTTTTTCTAATGAGTACATACGTCATCTTGTCTCCTTTTTGACAACACCTCCACACGCAAATATTATTTATTTACGCATACTAATATTATCTACCTAAAACATGAAAAAAGAATGAATAAGTGAGTGTACGAGTATGAATGTTTACTACCGTGCGTGATAAACACATACACTCATTGCTTAAATGCTAATAATAACCGAAACATTAATTACTATAAAAATCATTATAATATAAATTTAGTTTATAAAAAAGTAAAGTAAAATAAGACTCGGCAAGTTCCGAAATTATCTATTATAATTATAAATTATTAAAATTAATATCATTTCATCTTCATCGTCATTAAAAAAAAAAAGTGGGGAAATTGTTGCACAAAATCACCTTACATTTAATTTTTATTCTGTATGTCTAAAAATATAGTTAGTATTCCCAAGAACCTCATATTTACATAGTTGTTTGTTTATTTTATTATTTCAATAAATTTAAATTTAATTTGGTAAGTGTCATTAAATAATATTATTTATTATTTATTATTTATTATTTATTATTTATTATTTATTATTTATTATTATTTATTATCTATCGTTCATTTATTTATTCATTCACTAATTCATTCATTCACCCACAATAATAATAATAGTCCATTCTCATTTGTTGATTGTTCTTTTGATTAATTAATTAATTCATTTATATATTTATATTATACATACATTATGAGTTTTTATTTTTCCATAAATTGATTAATTTTTAAGCTGTTGATGACGACGATTGATGTAATATAAATTCGATTTTTGTACATGTATCAGGTGTGTATGTGTACGCGTAAAAATATTTTTGCGTCATTGAAAAAATATATAACAGGAAAAAAGGTCTGTCTGTGTCTGTGTATTATAGTCTCATTTATTATTCTTATTATTCTTATTATTGATATAGATGGTGGGTGGGTGGATACATTTAACTAATTAGGCAATCAATCAAATTAGTCAATAAAAAACAAACTCATTATTTTGATCCAAATTTGACAATAAAAATATAAATTATAACAAAGAAGGAAAACAAAAAAATTTCTGATTATTAATAAGAATCCATTAACGGGAAAGAATAAATAATGAAATGGAATTAGTAACATAATTTAATTATACAAATTTTGGAGATGGGAACACGCAAAAAAAATTTTCAATCAAATACGCGTCGCCAAAAATAATTTAATTGATCTACATAATGAGGGATTAGAAATAGCAAGAATTAAAAAACAAAGAATTTATTTCTTATATATATGTGTGTGTGTGTGTGTGTATGTATAAATGCGCGCGCGCGTGTGTGAATTTAAATATAAATGTTATTATTGATTAATTTATTTTGGTTAAAAATTATGAAATTTAATGTTGAATTTTATTTATTTTCCATAAAAAGAATATAAAAAATAATTAAACAGTCATTTATTTATTTGTTGTGTTTGTTTTTTTGTATCTCTCGTAAATAATTGGAGGTGAGTTAAAAGAAGATTTTTTTTTGTGAAAGAATGTAGAGTTGAAAACGATAAACAAAAATATATTATTATTAAAATATAATAGATAAATTCGGGATTCCGAATACAAGTATGTGAGAAGAATTGTTAGATGATAAATGTGTGAATTTAAAAAAAAGAAAATAATTGTTTTCTTAAACAATATAAAAATTTTTTTATTGATAATGGCGTGTTGCAATAAGATTAATGGGATTGAGAATTTCATTGTGCAATAAGATTTATTTATAAATAAGCAAGTAACATGAGCATTGGCATTAACATTATTAACATTTAGCAACAATAATAATTAGATGACATCATTCTCTGAATCTTATTTATATATGATAATATGCAACAAACAAACAAACATTATTGATTAAATAAAAGTTTGGGTGAATAAATGCATTTATTATTAATTGATGGGTGGATAGGCGGGACAGGCCAGGATAAAGGAGTGTAGAGTTTTATGTATGGTATGTAATACACAGTTTTGGTATGATCCTATTTACTATTAATGAAAATTCATTATCACAACCAAGAAAATTTTTCTTAAATTTGTTAATGATCATTGATCAGTGATACAAACAATTTAAATAATTTGTTTCTAATTAGATACGATGAAGGAAATAATTTGTTGTTGTTGTTGTTGTTGTTGTTGTTGTTGTTGTTTGTTGTTGGATATTTATCTCAAATACTTTGCAAAATTCAAGTCACATGATATTTAGTTACACATTTATTATATGATACAAACTTTAAAGTTTAGAGAAATTTTCAATTTTGTTTTAAAAATTATTTTTTATTAATAATAAGGAACCTATTTTTTCGACCTTTCAAATATGGTTAGAGCGCAATCTAATCAAGCACGGGTACATGGATGAAGATAATTTACTACATTAAGAATAAACAAATCTCAATGTATAAAATCCAGGAATTTTATAAAAATATCAATTTATTATTTTAATAAACAATCATTTTTTTGTTATCTTTAAAATTTTTGTTTGTTACATGAAAATGAATATATATTATATTTGAAAAAAATGTTTGTGGTGCAAAAATGTAATGTTGATTTTATTATTTTCAAAATTGATTTTTTGTACATGTAAGATGCAACGACATTCATATGATATGTGTGATATATATATATATATACATGTTATATATATATTGATTGATTTGATTGATGACGGGTGATAAATAATTTTGAAAAAGAATTCATCGTGTAACATTTTTGTTTGATGTTTGTTTTGATAATTAATTAAAAGACGTTAAAAATCAAAATAAAAAAATTCTAAAAAAGAATTTAGAATAATAATTGTTATACTATTATTAATCATTATCATTATTACTATTTTTATTATTTTTCATGGGAATTCTTCCACGGAGAAAGTTTTTGTTTTAATATATAATAATCATTATAATCATTCTAATGTTGTTTATTAGTCGATCAACAACAGCTAATAATATTTAATAAAATAATTGATAATGCGTAGTAGATGATAGATACTGTGTGATAATGATAACTATGTTTGTGTGTATATATATATATATATATAGTTAATAATTAGGAATGAATGATATTTGTTTTGATTATCGTATTCCCGATTGATTACTAATAACTATAATGACATAAGGACATTAATATAATAGTAATAGCAATAATGAACTTAATTAAATTTAGAAAAAGCTAGATAAAGAGAGGGGGAGGAGGAGAGAGAAAATCGTGTGTGCGTATGCACGTGTGCTTATTTATATATTAACATGTATAAAAAATTCGGAATTAATTCGACAGATTTCCGAATTTAAAAATAATATTTTTTTTTCAAAAATCACATCTATAATAATATACACGCACGCATGTAGAACACACATAATTTATTTTATTTCACAAAGATCGAAAATTAAAGATCGAAATATTGATTTTTATCATTAATAATATTCAATTGATATAAAATTGGTAATTCTTTTTTAAATGGTATGTGTATATTACGTAAAAATAAGCAGCATATTACCTAAAAAAAAAAATTAAACTGTATAATCATATATTTTTTTTTTATATATCCGAGTTTCGCAAGTTTAAATGAGTAAATTGATTCTCGAATACTGAATTTGATTTCATTTTTTTTTTTATTACATAAATACATAATTAAAATACATAAATAGAGATAAACAAACAAACAATAAACTTATTGTTGTTGTAATAATATTAAATGAGTAGATTAATAGATTAGCCGATAGAATCACCATAACATTAGGTTAGACTATATAATTTGTAATTGAATTATATGCTTGGCGATAATATAATTTCAATTGCAATTGACATATTTGATCGATCGATTGGTTAGTCGGATTTCTATTTATTAACTAGATTGGCAAGAATTTTTTGGGATAATTGCCCGGGTATGATTGCCGAAAGGGGGAAATGCCTAATACCAATAAATGGTTTTAATCAAATTTCTAAAGTAATTATAGTAATTATAACCAAAATAATAAATATTTCTTAGACTTCGAATCACTCACTTCTAATAAATAAATAAATAAATAATATTAACATATTTTCTAATTCATTTCATATACAGTATATATACACTATACGATGTGCATGTAATTTGTGTAGTAGTGGTACATTATCATTATTATTATTTATTTATTTATTTATTTATTTATTAACTAATTAATAAAAAAAATTTTAAAAATAAATATTATTTATTACACAAAAATGTAAGCGATCAAAGAATTATAAATTTTTGAAATTTTAATCGTATTTTCGAAAATGTATAAATTGCACGAATTGCACACAAAAACGTGCGTTTACACACACATACTATTACATACTATTTATTACTTTTTTTCTGTCATATTTGATGGATATATTTATATTTAATAATAATAATAATAAAGAGCTTGTTTTTAGTAATTTTTTTTTACGCCTTTTTTTTTTTTTCTATCAGAATTACTATTTTTTTAAATTTTGATGTTGCACGAGTTTTAATTTTAAAAAAATTACGTCACGTATCAAATAGTCATGTGATAGATGAGCAAAAAAAGGTTTCAAATTATAGTAAAAAGAATTAATTAATTAAATTAATTTATTTAATTTTTCGGGGCTTCGGAAAATTAAAA